CCCTCCTCCCTACCCCTGCCCCACGGGACGTCCCCTCCCGCCCCTCCTCCTACCCCTGCCCCACGGGACGTCCCTCCCGCCCTCTCCTACCCCTGCCCCACGGGACGTCCCCTCCCCGCCCCTCCTCCTACCCCTGCCCCACGGGACGTCCCCTCCGCCCCTCCCCCCCCCCCTGCCCACGGGACGTCCCCTCCCGCCCTCCTCCTACCCCTGCCCCACGGGACGTCCCCTCCCCCCTCCTCCTACCCCTGCCCCACGGGACGTCCCCTCCCCCCCCCCCCCTCCCCCTGCCCCACGGGACGTCCCCTCCCGCCCCTCCTCCTACCCCTGCCCCACGGGACGTCCCCTCCCGCCCCTCCTCCTACCCCTGCCCACGGGACGTCCCCTCCCGCCCCTCCTCCTACCCTGCCCCACGGGACGTCCCCTCCCGCCCCTCCTCCTACCCCTGCCCCACGGACGTCGCCCTCCCGCCCCTCCTCCTACCCCTGCCCCACGGGACGTCCCCTCCGCCCCTCTCCTACCCCTGCCCCACGGGACGTCCCCTCCCGCCCCTCCTCCTACCCCTGCCCCACGGGACGTCCCTCCCCGCCCTCCTCCTACCCTGCCCCACGGGACGTCCCCTCCCGCCCCTCCTCCTACCCCTGCCCCACGGGACGTCCCCTCCCGCCCCTCTCCTACCCCTGCCCACGGGACGTCGCCTCCCCGCCCCTCCTCCTACCCTGCCCCACGGGACGTCCCTCCCGCCCCTCCTCCTACCCTGCCCCACGGGACGTCCCTCCCGCCCTCCTCCTACCCCTGCCCCACGGGACGTCCCCTCCCGCCCCTCCTCCTACCCCTGCCCCACGGGACGTCGCCCTCCCGCCCCTCCTCCTACCCCTGCCCCACGGGACGTCCCCTCCCGTTCCTCCTCCTACCCCTGCCCCACGGGACGTCCCCCCCGCCCCCCCTCCTACCCCTGCCCCACGGGACGTCCCCTCCCGCTCCTTCCTACCCCTGCCCCACGGGACGTCCCCTCCCGCCCCTCCTCCTACCCCTGCCCCACGGGACGTCCCCTCCCGCCTCCTCCTACCCCTGCCCCACGGGACGTCCCCTCCCGCCCCTCCTCCTACCCCTGCCCCACGGGACGTCCCCTCCTGTTCCTCCTCCCTACCTGTGCCCGGGCGGTACAGACCACCGCCCTCGGTGCACTCAACGCTGCGGTTGCCCCTGCCTCGAGGCAGTTCGTCGTTGCCTAGCAACCGCCGCCGCGCCGGTCACTCCCCAGTGCGCATGCTCAACCGCTCAGCTCCGCCCCGCGCTCGGCGCGAGGTTGCGGTCGCCAGCGGCGGCTCTGCCCCATTGCGCATGCTCGCTGGCCCCGCTTCGCGCACAGTACCGCTGTCTCAGTTGCCGGGGCGGCACTCCCACAGTGCGCATGCTCCCGGGCTGCGCCCCGCGCACGGCGGCACCGCGCATGCTCTTGGTGAGGGGCCGTGGTGCGGCTGGCGGGTTCGAGCATCCCGGGCCGCGACAGGCCCCGCCGCGCTGTCTTGGGCGGTGTGCGTATCACAGCCCGGCGGTTTCTTCTTGAGCCTCGCGCTCGGCGGCCACTGAGCTGCTTAGATCTCTGCCTTCCAGCACATTCGACAGAATTTCAGCCGTCCTCATTCAAATATCTTTTCTGCCTGCCGCCCCAACCCTCCCTGGTTAGGCTTATATCGGACTTCTTGATATGTAGATACGTATCAGAGCTCACTGATGCTCTGTGCACCTTTAAGTTTGCTGTTCCTCTCATTTTGGGTAATTTCTATTCCTATGCCTCCAAGTTTGCTCACCTTTTCTTGCAGTATTTAGTGCCATCTCGAGGGATTTTCATCCCCGGAAGTCGAGAGCCGGTCTTTACGTCTTCGTCCCTCTGGTGATGCACCCATGCTGGGGCTCTCCTCCAGCTCCTGAGAACGTGGAATCCGTTTATACCCGCAGTCCTTATATACTTGCCCATTAATAGTCTGCCTCTTTCCGTTGATTCCTTTTTCTTCTCGTTATGGGTTGTGTTTTCCTGCTGCTTTGTGTGCCTGGTCGTATTTGACTGGATGCCAGACACTGAATTTTATGTTCTTGGGCGCTGGATTTTCATTTCGAGCTTTGTGGGTGACACAGGTAAGTCACCTGGAAACAGTTTGTTCCCTTTAGCCCTGGGCTACCTTGTTTCCACTACCTGAGCGAAACCCCTGGAAGTGCTTTACCCAGTGCCCACGTGTTAGGAGCTGCCTCCGCGCTGGCTGTAGGGCTGTTCCGGCCTGTGTGAGCTCTGAGGGCTGTTCAGGCCCCATCACTGGTTGGTTCCCCAGCTGTGGGTGGTTTCCTTGCAGGCCTACCCCCGTCAAATCTCAGGTACAGACCCAAGACGGGTCTTCTCCAGGTCTCCGGAGCTCTCCGTCTGAGGGTCTTTCCTCTCTGGCGTTCTGTCGTCGCCTCCTAGAATTCTTTCCTCTGTATCATCCTCAAATAAGACTGCTGTCCCCTGTTTTGGTTGTAGCACCAAAACTCTCCTGACTCACTTTGTTTCCCTTGTCTTAAGGATCACAGTCCTGCGCTGCCTGCTGTCGTGTCTGAAAACCATTGTTTCGTATGTTCTGTCTGATTTTTTAGTTGTTTGAGGTGAGAGCTGAAATCTAATCCCTGACACTCCATCATGCCCAGAAGCAGAAATCAATAGAGATTTTTCTTTTTTAATGTCAGTGACTCAACTGTGCTATTTAAACTTATGTTTGTCCTTTATTGAAATAAAGTTCAGCTGAAAGTGCAAAGAAAACATACAAAATGCAAATGGTCTTTTTTTTTTTTTTAACTTCCCCGAAAGTGAGGTCTAAAGAAATTACTGACTTAAGTTGATTGAAACTTGATCATTGATCAAAGCTAGTCAGAAAGTCACAGTGCCCTGGCCACAGAGACTTAGCTGGGATGGGTGTATGACCTAGCGAGGCCCATCACGTGGACTCAGTCTGTTTGTGGGAGCTCCTGGAAAATTCCTGTAATTCTCCTACTGAATGTAGAAACAAGGAAGGACGTGAAGCTGCAGCTGTGCGGCTGTCTTGGCTTCACAAGGTGAGAGCCTGAAGCTGTTGAGGGCCATCCCACAACCTTAGAAGGAGGATTGTACAGGAAATGGCAGAGGTTTGGACAGAGTCCAAGCCCCAGTGATGTAGTTGAAGCCCTGAAGCCAGCCCTACTCCCGCTCTTCCCATTTACCTGAGTAAATGAATTCCCTGTGCGCGCCAGCCAGTTTGGGTCTGGTTTTCTGTTACCCGTAACAGGAATAATTCAAGTGATAAATAGGTGCACTATACCCACCTTCGGGCTGTGGGGAGGTTGAAGTGTCATCTGTATGAGAACTGCTTGGTGCAGTGATGGCTGCTCTTTAGATCCATGTTAAGGTATTTTTCTTGAACTTCATGAAATTCTAAGAAAAAGTCACGTCTTTTAATTCCTTCTCTCCATCCAAGTGTTTAAAGTTTCACGACAGTTTTATACCTGCATGTTTTCTACCCAAAAGAAATTGGTCTTTCTTGTTAGCTACACAGAATTTTTTTCTGCAGGCTTTTGCTTGCAAATTTAACCCTGTAATTATTGCTTTGTCATTCTTGACAAAAGCAGAGCTGACATGGATATTTGAAGAAGATGCTCTGAAGAACATGTTCCTCATCCCTCTTCAAGACAGTGTGTTCTATCCTTGGACTAAGTGACATCATCAGAATGCAGCCTTCTTGGACAGAGTTCAAGGACATGCATACCTCACCTGTCTTTGTCCCAAAACTGTGCTCTCCGTGATTTATATTGTAATGTTATACCTTTAGCTTTTCTGTTGGTTTACAGATGGGCCTAGGATATCGCATGTATGCGGAGCACGTCTGCATCTCTGGAAAACCCTCATCAAGTACATTCTCCATGGTACTGTTTGGTGCCCTTTGTGTCACACATGATTATTTTAGAATTTCAGAAACATGAACTGGAGGCTCTGGGAATGGTCTGAAGAGAAAGGGCTGAAGAAGCCCGAAGAGAAAATCAGAGGTCCATGTAGATGATAAGATGCGTTTGGTTGCTCTGCTTAGCTGCTTGGGGAAGGAGATGGATGTGCTTAGAATGAACGAGCTGTGCTCCTGTTCTCTGCAGTGCTTGTGCAATAAGCTGTCATGTGCGGTACTATATTTAAGAG